CTTCATTGGATTGTGACAAATCACTTTGAGATTTGGTAATTTACCTAGTTTTAACGTGGCTCCTTCCCATGGGTGTCAAAGGATATTCACTTACTACATTGTAGGTCTTCATCAAAACTCAAAAAATTGTGCAATTGTCTACTGAGTAAATATGGTTCTAGGAACTTAACTGAAAAGGAACTGAATCATGATGCATGTCAACTTCAACTTGAGTGTTATTATTATTTTGTACATTTTTATCTAAAATGTCTTCTTCTTTTCTGAATGTTCTTCGAAAAATTATCTGTGTTATGCTTATGATCAAGTTCCTTTTTCTATTGTAAGTGGTGGCTGCCAGAGCAAACTCAGGAGCATCGTCTGGTGCTCCTTGATTTGATGCTGGTCTCACTGTGTGCTCTATTACCATTATTTTCACTTCATTGACTTTGACACCATGCAACTTTGCGGTCCAACTGGGCCATTAAACCATTAACCTCAATGCTCTGCCAGGAAAGTGGCCTTACACAGAGATTTTCCCTGTTTGGGAGGTCCTCATCTGAACCTGAAGAATTACCTTCATGCCACTCTCATACAGCTGTTTCAGACAAAGACTCCTCTGATGACATATATGCAAAGGACATACATGCAAGGTACTTGTCCTTGTCTGACTAACTGATGCTAGTTGACTCCCTCAGAGCATATTGGCCTTTTAATTTTTTTTCTGAAAGAAAAATGACGAACCATGATTTAGCAGCCAACAAGTAACCCACAGTTGGTAAACAAGCATGTACTGCTCATACTCAGTGTAAATGATTGGGTTGCAGAACAATGACACAATGCTAAAAGCTGAAAACACTCTCTTAATCAAAGGAACAGTTTCTCCCCGCATTTTATTCCTACTAACTTTTTCATTAAATATATAATATGTTTTTGGAACAGGTGTTAAAGTAGAGAGCAGAAATGCCTCTTTCTGTTGAATCTGCATTTGTTTCATTAAGACTCTTTTAAGTGTAAATAAAGACTGAAATAAATTAATTCCCCTGTCATTCAAGAGCAGAACTGATAGTGTCCCACAGGTCACCAGGCTCTAACAGAGCACAACCATGACTCAACTGTACACATAAACCGCAAAACCGGTCAGAACCTGAGAAACGTAACATTAAGGCAACCCACATGTTGCTTAGAACAATAATTGATTAATTGTGGTTATTTGGCATGATAAAGCCAAAGCATTTACGTGCAAAATGAACTAACAAAGATCCCTCGACATCATTGAGCTGTACAAAAGGTATAAATAATGAGGTATTGTCGTTTAAAATGTGGGACAGTAATACAGTGGTCACTTGGAATGACACTTATGCTTCAGGATCTGGCAAGTGCCGTCATTCGCAAAATGAGCCAAAATTAAGATCTCACAATATCACTGAACCATTATGTGTAAACCATAAGAGTTTTGGATGGTACAATTTATGAAAGAAGAATCACTTGTCATTTAAATGTGGAACAAAATACGGTGGTCACTCAGAATGACACATAGGCTTCACTCGCAAAATGAAAAAAATGCCGTTACTCGCAAAATGAACCAAAATTAAGATCTCACAATATCACTGAACCATATGTATAAACCAAAAGAGTTTTGGATGGTACAATTTATGAAAGAAGAATCAATTGTCATTTAAATGTGGAACAATAATACGGTGGTCACTCAGAATGACACATAGGCTTCAAGATCTGGCATATGCCGTCACTCACAAAATGAGCCAAAATTAAGATCTCACAATATCACTGAACCATATGTATAAACCATGAGAGTTTTGGATGGTACAATTTATGAAAGAAGAATCACTTGTCATTTAAATGTGGAACAATAATACGGTGGTCACTCAGAATGACACATAGGCTTCACTCGCAAAATGAAAAAAATGCCGTCATTCGCAAAATGAACCAAAATTAAGATCTCACAATATCACTGAACCATATGTATAAACCATAAGAGTTTTGGATGGTACAATTTATGAAAGAAGAATCACTTAATTGTCATTTAAATGTGGAACAATAATACGGTGGTCACTCAGAATGCCACATTGGCTTCAAGATCTGGCATATGCCGTCACTCGCAAAATGAGCCAAAATTAAGATCTCACAATATCACTGACCCATATTTATAAAGCATAAGAGTTTTGGATGGTACAATTTATGAAAGAAGAATCACTTGTCATTTAAATGTGGAACAATAATATGGTGGTCACTCAGAAGGACACATAGGCTTCAAGATCTGGCATACGCTGTCACTCGCAAAATGAACCAAAATTAAGATCTCACAATATCACTGAACCATATGTATAAACCATAAGAGTTTTGGATGGTACAATTTGTGAAAGAAGAATCACTTGCCAGTTAAATGTGGAACAATAATATGGTGCTCACTCAGAATGATACATAAGCTTCAAGATCTGGCATATGTCGTCACTCGCAAAATGAACCAAAATTAAGATCTCACAATATCACTAAACTATATGTATAAACCATAAGAGTTTTGGATGGTACAATTTATGAAAGAAGAATCAATTGTCATTTAAATGTGGAACAATAATACGGTGGTCACTCAGAGGGACACATAGGCTTCAAGATCTGGCAAGTGTGGTCACTCACAAAATGAAAAAAAATTAAGATCTCACAATATCACTGAACCATATGTATAAACCATAAGAGTTTTGGATGGTACAATTTATGAAATAAGAATCATTTGTCATTTAAATGTGGAACAATAATACAATGGTCACTCAGAATGACACATATGCTTCAAGATCTGGCAAACTTGTGCCGTCACTTGCAAAATGAACCAAATTAAGATCTCACAACATCACTGAACCATAATTATGTATAGATGTAAAACAAGAGTTTTTGACTGTAAAAATTTCAAAAGGGAAATCATTTGTCATTTGAAATGTAGTAGAATATTAAATAATAAATTATAGTGACCACTGCTTTGTCAAGTGCTGTCACCTGAAAAGTACAGTAACCCCAAAGATCTAACATATTAACTCAGCTGTACAACAAGCCAAATTTCTGAATTATGGACATGCTAAGGTCACATCACCGACTTATATTGGTGTAAAAGAAATGTTTGCCTGCACAGCTCAAGATCCGGCTACTTAAGATTATTCTATTAATGAAGACGATGCGCAACAAAGAGTACAGTTATTTCTGCAGTAAACAAAATGGAATCAATCAATGGCATATCTGTGCATGCATCTTAAATTTTAAGATTTATCTTTGAGGTTTTAAGCTTACGCAAAGTTATTAGAAAACCAAAGTAAGTAAACGAACCACGATATCAAGAAGAACATACCTTTCTGCAATCCAGCTGAGTTGATGACTTGGAAACAGGCTTTATGTGAAGAATATCGCAACTGATCACTGTCTCTCGAAAATAACAAAGGTATAAATCGTAATAGAACAGCTGAATAGAAAGACAGGCTTTCTATTATCCGAAAATAACAAAATTACTCGTTTTGCAACGCTGTATCGCTTGTGAAGTCCGCGTGAATTTGAACTGTTCAACGAAAGTTTATTTTACACTATTCTATTGGTTCAAAAGCCGCACGTGACAATGTAAATCAAATCGCGCATGTGCCAAAGTCACATGGAAGCCTAGGCAACAAACATGGCGGCTGCTCTTGCGACGGAGTGCATTCAGGACTACATTCACCCGGACGATGAAACTCTGCAATCTACTATTGAAATGACTCCTGGGTTCAAACCTTTCACATATTGTGCATTTTGTTCACCCAAATTGTAAATGGTAACGTTTTACGTCAGGGCCTCCTATTCCGAGACTTCTTGTAATATTTTTTTCCGTGCCACCGACACAATATCAGGAAACGCATTCGACGCTAAACGAAAAAAAGGGGGGATGGCCTTACCCGAAATAACCAGCTGCAGCAAGTAATATTATAAACTTTGAGAAGAATGTGATGGTGATTGAAACGGAAAATGCAATGGAAAATCAAAACTTCCGTGAAATAACACTGTGAAGTTTGGTAAATGTGCAAACGTTGGTTAAAGTGGTCGTAAAGATAGTTCTTTGATCATATTTTGCTTAAATTTACGCCTCTAGTAACCATAAATTTACACAGTAACTTTGCTATGCCAGAAAATATCAAGCAAACATTCAGTTTTGACGTTCGATTTTTACACACAGAACAAAATGGTGGCAAACTTGAATCTAAACACCAAATTTACTATGGGGAGCAAAAGTGAAACAAAATATCTGTAAACTTGAAATTTACTCCACATTTACGCCACCCTTGCAGAAAAGTAAACTTTCACTTTCGAACAAAATTTGCACCAAGAACAAATAAGTAGCAACATTAGTACCCTAAATTTACAATAGATTTGCTCAACTAGCAAACTTAGGCAAATCCGTTTTTTCGTCCAGTGTAAGTTTCAGCCAGGAGCAGCTGGGAAAAATAATTTTCTTCACTCTTCTTTTATGGAACTGTTGCTGAAGTTTCCCGTGCTCTTGCTCGAAAATGTGAAACAGTTAACTCGTAATTTTTACTTGGAAGAAAACCTTGTTCCTTTTTGGCCGACTTTCTCCAAAAGGTAGTTATTTCTGTTGAGTATTTTGCGAGAACAGAGTGCAAACTGAAACGATGTAATTCAATGTGCAGCGAAATGCGAACTTTGACAGAAACACATTTTACCTACCTTCACAAAATCTTCAAATTTTCCTGCCTAAACCCAAAGAGAACGGTGAGTCCTAAAAAGAGTTAGCAAAAGTAGACAAACAAATAACTCAAGGGAGCCTATCTTTCGGGTTTTAGTTAAAGTCTTCGAAGATTTGGGGAACATTAATGCGTACCTTCCGAGAATAGGTGCGTCCGAGAGATAGGCACGTTTTGTACCATTAAATTTGATTTATGTCGAATTCCGCTTTACTAAGATCGAACAATTTTTTGAGTGGACATACTGAGCTTCCTGGTATACTGTTTACCTAGACACCCATTTTCCACAAG